GCCCCCAAATCTCACCCTGGCAGTGTCTAGTAGTTGCAGGAGCTCGTCTCGGCTGGAGGGGTTCAGTGAGGACGTCACCCACGTGAGGTGGCCCAGGAACTGGATGGGGAAGGACCGAGTGAAGGACAGAGAGAGGTTTAGGAACCCCCAGCCTCCTTTCTGAGGCAATGAGGTTAGACAGGGTAGATAGAAATATCTGAATGAATAACAGCTTGGTAATACCCCTATAAAGCAGGTCCTAAAAGCCACACACAGTCCCGACAGCAATATGTACATTTACTCTTGGCCCTGTCTTTAAGGATGAGGCAAAGGATTTGACTCTCTTTAAGGTACAACAAAGCTAAGTTACACGCCCACTATTATATAGCTAGAAAGGGCAAAACTAGACCCCACACACCAGAGCCCACTGCTAGCTAGAGTGCTTGAGCAGTTACTTAGCTGTGGCCCAAGCAGAAGGCAGACTCCCACCTTGAATGAACTGACCACCTGCGAATTCCCTCTTGGCCTGAGGGGCTCTGACCAGACAAGGCTGTCAGTGGGCTAGATAAGTTGGTCACTTGTCTCTGTGATCTTGTTGCAGGTGTCAAATGGGAAGAGAAGAATATCATATCAAGTCAATACAGCATCTTGCCAGAAAAAAAGATGCCCCCAATTAATAAACCTTCCATTCTTAGTTATTACTGAATGGTATCAGTTACATGTTATTCAATATCAGAATCAACTCCTCCATATTTTTGGCATTATTCTAGGTGAATTCCAAGAAACCTTTTCTCTTGATTCTCTATGAAGTTTCAGTCCCTAGTTCTTACGTGGATTTACTTGTGAGCTTTCCCCTCCATATAGGGTTTCCAGATAAAATGCAAGATGTCAGTTAAACTGGAACTTCACACAAACAACCAACACATTTTTAGTTTGTTTTAAAAGTATTTTTAGTCCCAGGCAATATTTGGGACATATTATTTCTGAAAAAGCACCCTGGTTATCTGAAATTCACATTTAAGTGGGTGGCCTATTTTCGTTAGAGCTGACACTCATACCCCCTTATCGGACTTCCTTGGGTAATGAGGATTCTCCACCGCTCCTTTCCGGTGTTCATGAGATAAGAGGAAAGCCCAGACTTGGTCTGCGTCCCTTGTGGCCTGCTGAACTGGTTTCTATAACCTGGACACTGTGCGTAGCAACAGCATCTCTGCGGTAAGATCTCACAAGAAGGCTCAGCTGTTCAGGGCACGGAACACGTTCCTATCCACGGGCCTCAGGGGTAGGGTTGGAGCCCCATTTTTGAGATGGGAGTGCTGTGAGCAGGTGGAGCAGCAGAAGGCAGGTGGGGGGCCCAGACCTTTTCTTCCCCAGAGTCTCCCTGTGTGAGGGAGGCTGGGGTTGGAGTGTGGGAGAAGTAAGGTGTCGCCTCATGGGACCCAGGGCACACGGGCCTCCAACGTGGGTGCTTGGGCAGATCGAGGCTCTTAGGCTGAAGGAGTTGGAGGGCTGGGCAGAAGCAGGGGGGTCCCCTGACTTCCCCACTTCACCCTTCTTCCCTGAACAGCAGGAAAGAAGGCTCCAGGTAAAATGTGCCCTGGAGTACCAGGCAGGAGGGGACATCGCACACTAAAGGCGGGGGATGGGACTCCGGAGGCATAAACAAACCTTGCCCAGTCACTATCACCTTCCTCGATTACTACCCCAGCCCAAGCCCCTCTGCCTTGCCAGCTCTCACGAATTTACACTTTCCTTATCAAAAGGAACAAAACTTTCTGCTCTGGTCACTTCTTGAGGTCTTCACTTTCTTGTTAGGCCTCCCATACACTGAGCCTCCCTGGTGGCGCAGTGGGTTAAAGCGCAGCACCGAGAAGCTAAATACACTTCAGCATGAGTTCGATCCCCGCCCCAGAGGTGGCCCACATGGCACAGCAGCCCCGGAGGTGACCCACATGGCGCGGCAGACCTCTCCTGACCCGCCCGCTGCTCCCCTCAGCAGTGTACTTCGTCAGTCGGCCTGTTCTGCTCCCCACTGTCTCTGGTGAATCCTCTCACCATGCCTGTACCCCAGCTTTGTATGCATAAATAAAACTTAAAAAAAACAAACAATGTGTATATGTTTCTCCGGTTATTCTCTTTGTCAGTTTAATTTGCAGACCCAGACAGGGACCTTAAGAGAGCAGAGGGAAACTTTCCTCCCTGCACTGCTCACCCCAGGGTGGGTTCCCCTCCTCATCTGACACGCACCTTGACCTCTTTCTCCAGGTAGTCGCACAGCAGAATCTGGGGGTCGATGAGGTAGTCAGGGGGGTAAAGGGGCATTGAGTGCAGGGGCCTGCGGCTCACGCTGCTCCGAAAGGCTGCCCGGCGAGTGGACTTGGGGAACACCAGCCTGCGGATGGGGGACACGAAGCCCTGGGGGAGGACACAGTAGTGGTAGTAAGGTCAGTAACCGGCCTCCTCAAGCGTTGGCCTTACCATGCTCCATGCTTTTTCACATCACCCATTTTAATTCTCTCTGTGGGTGGTACCTATGATCCCCATTTTATAGTTGGAGAACTTGGGCCAGGAGAGGGGAACAGGCTGATCTGGTGACCAGCTAGTGACAGTAGCACCAGTATCTTAACATGGACAGTCTGCCCCCCAAACTTCCTTTGTAAATACCCACGTGAGGGTGGAGGTCCTGCCAAGGCCCCAGCCCAGAGGGAAGGAAGGGGCCCCAGTTGGGGGCAAATACAGAATAATACTAAGTTTCCATGTGTCTGAGTGTGGGGGTGCCTAGGTATTTGCCAAACTATTCCCTATGCTTTCCTAAATATTAAAAGTAGCAAATACATCTATTCATGATTCAGCAAACACCTGCCTATAAATGGCCTGGAGAAGGCAAGAGGTGCAAATCCCTGGGCCCCAGCCCAGCAACAGAGCAAAATCTCAAAAGAATACTGGAGCAGCCTTGGCAACAGCGGTTGTCAGTGTGGGGTCCTGAGTCATCACCATCAGCAGCACATGAGAGGTGAGGGCAAACACATTCTCGTGCTCCGCGCCAGATGCCTAGTGGATGAGGGCCTGGGGCTGAGAGCCAGTGATCTGTGTTTAGCAAGGGCGCAGGTGATTCAGATACACACCTGACTCATGTTTAAACCAGTATCACCGGGCCGGAGGAAATCTATGGAAGCGCTGAGAAAAAAGAACCCAGGAAAGCAGAAGGCATAGCGTTTGCAACACCCTGGAGGCCTCAAAGGTGGGATGAGCACTGTAGTCTGATGAAGGACAGCCCAGCCCACCTTGCAGTCTCATCTTACCCCTCACTCCCATTCTCCAGCACAAGACCCCCTTTGCTACATTCCTTCCCCACCAGCTTTTGCACATGCTGTTCCTCTGCCTGAAACACCCCCTTTCACCCACCCATCAGCTCCCAGCTCAGTCTGACCCAGCTAGGGCTGGACCAACAATAGTCTGACTACCAACACTGTATGGAGTGTTTGAAGAAATGTTATATTAATTTCTCTCTAAAGAGTGTTAATAGTTGCCTCCCCTGTAGACTCTAAGCTCTAGGGAGGGAGCTGGGAACTTGTCTGACTTTTCTCATCACTGCATCGTCACCTGGATGGTACCTGGCACACAGCAGGTGCTCAACCGCTATCTAGAGAAGGAACGAACCAAGAGA